CCCAAATGGCTGACCTACAAGTGTTTGCCTGCAACAGCCATGAGGTGAGGAAGGCTGATCACATTCAACCAAAGCTGATGTTCCCTTTCTTCCACCCAGCAGGTAATTGAACAATGAACAGGGTAAGAGGCTTTTTGAAATATGCCCTTCAGTTTTATAGTCAATTCTTATCCATCTGGTTAAAGAACCATTGTTTGTTGGCTCCATGAAACTGAATAAGAGGTAGGACAGAACTTAGTCCTTTAAAGATGGAAATAAGGTTCTTCTATAGAATCATGGTCTGAACTTCAATATTTGGTTTCAGTTCTTCCTTTACCTAGGATTAAGAAATTGAAGACAAACTGCCCAAGTAGGTAGAAACACCAGACATTCTTGATGCTACAGATTGCCTGGACTAATTTGTATCTGGCTTCTGGTCCAATTTGGGTACTGCAAATTCCATGATTACCTTGTTAGATAAATACCAGAAAGATGACAGAAAAGTTCAACTCTTGATTTTCCTCAACCATTCTCTGACTGTAAATAATTTAAGTGCAATACTGTTCTGGACCTTCTGCTTCCAACGGAGATGGTAGCCTTATATACTAGTGACCCAGATCTTGCTTTATGTGACAATTCCAGTTTGGGATGGAAAATTATTGCTACGCCCCTCTGCATTTTGTTGGATTCATTTTGTTTTGATTTATCCCCCTGTGAATATTTTGTTGTTGTTGTTAATTGCAAAGTTGTGTCCGACCCATCATGACCCCATGGACAACATTCCTCCAGGTCTTCCTGTCTTCTACCATCTTCTGGAGTCCATTTAAGTTCACACCTACTGCTTCAGTAACTCCATCCAGCCACCTCTTTCTCTGCCATCCCCTTCTTCTATTGCCCTCAATCTTTACCAGCATTAGGCCCTTCTCCAGTGAGTCCTTCTTTCTCATTAGGTGGCCAAAGTATTTGAGTTTCAACTTCAGGATCTGGCCTTCTAAAGAGCAGTCGGGGTTGGTCTCTTCTAGGACTGACCGGTTTGAACGCCTTGCAGTCCAAGGAACTCGCAGGAGTCTTCTCCAGCACCATAGTTCAAAGGCCTCAATTCTTTGTCACTCAGCCTTTCTTATGGTCCAACTTTCACATCTAGCATCCATATTACACTGGTGGCAGATATCTTTTAGATATGGAAAGTAAGCTACACTTGTTATTTTTCAGCAGAAATGTTTTCTTCTTCTGTATAGAAAAAGAAGTCCTTTGTGCTCTTTATTTTACAGCATGGGCCCCAACCCCCACTCTGTGGACCAGCACTGTGGCATGCCAGAAACCAGTCTGAGCAAACAAGCATGCATGGGATGCAGGCAGCTTGTGAAACCACGCCCACTCCAGTCCACGGAAAAACCTCTCTCTACGGAACCAGTCCCTGGTGCCCAAAAGGTTGGGGCCCGCTGTTCTACAGGATTGGATTCAATAATGAAGTGCTACAATATCTACAAGAATCCATATTCTATAATACTCTTATTTGTATGCAGTAGTGAGCATATGGGGTTGTGGCCCCTGCTCATGGTGGAATGCATATGGACCAACTCTCTTATATTTCCACAGACAATATGAACATGTGCAGGCAGAAGCCTTAGCAAGTTTCTGTGGAAATTCAAACCCTGCACTACAAACTTGGCAGATTTTGGGCAAGCCCTTCTATGCATAGTTGTGTATATAAACAGTGTGTTCCCACAAATGTTTGACACAAAGTTGTTGATACTGGAGGAGCAAATCACTGCACACTGCATCAAGCACAGAATTATGGTTTGGCCCTATTTCCTCTTGCACCCATCCAGCCAAGGAGGGGGACTTCTGAATTAAGCAATTGTAAACTATCAGCAAGATATTTGCAGATACTGCAAACATTCACTCTGAATGCTACTTTTCTTGGAGGCTGAATTAACACCTGCTTCCAAGTTGAAAGAGAAAGCTTTTCCTGCTGCAGTTTCCTCTGCTAAATCATAGAGGAACTTAAAATTTAGTCTACTGAGGTCAAAACTGTCTGTTTTACTGCACTACGGAATGCTTTTTTTAAATTATATTCCCTTTGTGCTACATTTAAAACTTCTGGATGTTATCAGTGTTACAACTTTACCTCAGATCCCTGATAATTTTGATTTTTTTTTCTGCATCTCTCTCCCCCCCACACCATCTCTGCTGACCTTCTACAATGCCCCCCCCCCTTTTTGAAGTTGTATCTCAAGCTGGTAGTTTACACAAAAGCAAGGCATTTAAATTATCCCCAGCTATTCCCAAAATGTTTATTCATATAATTGTATTTTATAAAACATAAACTTGGATAACATCTTCCTCTAGACTATACTGTGATTGCATGGGAACTTACTCCTTTAATATAAGGAGCCATCTGAGTGTATCCCTTAAATCAGTGTAAATTTCTGTTTTGGCCCTGCATGTGTTGATGACCACAGAGTGGAGAAGGAGGAGAGACCAGCCATTCCTCTTGCTCACCACTTCTATTTTTATGTTGGGTGATGTGTCCTGGCTTCTTTTTAGGTCATGGAACAAAGTGTGTGTATGTCTGTGTGTACATGTCTGTATACTGGGAAGGAGATATGCTGAAGCACATACTAGCCCTGTGATTGCAATCCTTCCTGCCCATTGCCAGACTGCTATTCTAGCTGCTTGTAATTGGAGTGGCTTTTTCTGTATCACACACAAACACAAACACAAACACAAACACACACACACACAGAGAGAGAGAGAGAGAGAGAGAGGGAGGGAGAGAGAAACTTGGACTTTTGCTTTGGCCTTTTCTACTTATATTTCAGCAGAACAGGGCACATATTATAAACAAAAAGTAAAATGCCTTTTCTCCAAGGGATTATTTTTTAAATTCCCTACAAAATAACTGTTATTTGTGTTTTTACAGCTGATTTAGAACAATCAAATTATGCACACCAGTATTGTGCTGTGTTCTCAGATAAATGAATGAAGCCTACAACAGCAAAAACTGAGCATTGTTTGATACCACAAACAGGGACAATTCAGGCAACATTACATTTCATTCATTTCAATGGGAGGACAAAGCGCTGCTTAAATCTTACCCATTTAATTCCACAGGATTCAAAATACTTAATTTTGGCTGGAGGACATCCACTTCACAACACTTTTTAGTTAAAAAAAGTATTTTTAAAAAGCACACACTCAACTGTTATAAACACCAAGGATCTTCATATCATCATGCTTATTTGAACTCAGCCTGGGATTCCAACTAGTAGCACTGTTCATCCATGCCACCTTTTTCCTTCATTGTAAACAATAATTTTGTGTTTGGGTAAGTATAGAAGTGTTCTGTTGTGACACAGAGTTGGGGGATGATTGAAATACTCCATTTGTAGAAATGTGCCCCGCATGGACCATCAAAAAAACCATGCCAGAAAAGCCGTCCCCCAAGGATTATTTTTTTTATTGCTTAGGCAGCTTCAATTGTACAAGCCACCTCAATAGTTATATTACATCCTCTGTTCTGAACATATTAAATCTTCTGTGACTGGAGATTTTTAAGTATGAAGAAAGAGTTCTGCTGGCCTCATAAACTCACACAATATCTCTGACTGTAGGTCTGGTAGTTCTGTATCAGAAATGGGAACAAGAGGTTTGTGGAGAAGAATTGGAGCCACCACTGCCATTGCAAATATAACACAGACTTAGTGGGTGGATGGGGAATGGTGGCTGCCAAGTACATAAACACCATTATTCTCAAAACTAGAAAAGGATGAGTTGCTGGAGTGGAGAGCTTTTCTTATGGTCTAATGCAGGTACTTCTCCAAACTGTGCTGCTTATAATCCAAAGGCCAAGAAACCCCATTTGTATTTTGCATTGTTATATTGCTTCTATAACAGAAACACAGCTAAGTTCTCTAGATGTAGTTAAACTGAATCTTTTATCCACAAGAATTGGGGATGCTGGCAGCCAGAGCTCAGCAATATCTGGGAAGTCACATGTAGCTCTCTCCTGAGTTATGTTGTGCCTGTGAAAAACATCATTTCAATCTTTTTTTTTTTTTTTTTAAAAAAAGACTCTTAATTTTTACATTTGTAAAGGGCTCTTAAAGTATATGGCACCTTTGCAGAAAAATCCTGTCACCTTGATGTGGACACAACATAGGCAGCTTTACCATTTGCCTTCCTTTCTATTCCCCATCTAATTTGCAATTTTTATGGGTAAGGATGACAGAAATGGTGGACACTTGATCTTCTCTGTACAATCTTCAATGGCAATGGAGTTGGGACAGTACAATACCCAACACAACAGAAATATAGTTTCTGGATAGAGACATCTGCTGGACATTTTTTTTTAAACCATTTTTTTTTTTTTTTTGGTATAAGCAGTCAACATCTAATTTTGTTTTGGGAACCGGATCCCCTTTGCAACCTGCCAGTTCACTCGCTAGGTGTGTCATGCCTGAGGGGAAAAAATTGTTGTGCCTATGCATCATAAACATGGTATATGCTTATATTTCAGCCAACAGAAGCAGTAGGCAGACATCCTGGAGGAGGACTACAAATAGCCAATCACAAAGGTTTAGAATGCTTGCCAACAACACCCATTGCCTTTCTAGACACAAACCACAGGGCAACACTGTTACTATAAAATTTTGCTTGCAGGCTGATCCATTTTCCTCTCTTGCCATGCTACTTTTTTAAAATGGGGAGAAAGAAATAAGAAGGCATTTTGTTTGTTTGAAAAAGGCAAACACCTGGAAGCTTGGATGACACATGTGTTTGACTCATTAATTACATTTATGAAGGCGCTTTCTAATGGGCTGCACAAAAGTCCCTCCTGTAATTCATAGAGATGCTCAACAGTTTTATTGTAAGTCGGGGCCCATTATTCTGCCCAGCTGCTAGAGAACCACTGCTGAACGATTGTCTCTCCTATTAAGCAGTCAGCATAAACTCTCCTTGTTACAGCCTGGGACATCGCCTCCAGGGCAAGCGTACACAGAAGAGCAATTGCCGAATTGCGTATGAAAATTATAGTTTTATTGTCCGTACAAATGAAGGTTTGACTCTGACACCCGCTCTGCTCTGCTTTTGTGATAAAGAAGCAATTCTTTCACCAAACAAATAAGCACAGCACACCATTGTAATCCAAGAAACAGGCACTATTTATGCATCGGAAAGACAGGCTCACATTTGTACTGAAGAGCTAAAGAGTCTAAGGTCCCAGAAGCTGCTTTTTTTTTTAATAAATTGGGGATGGGGTGGGGGATGGAATGAGTACCAAAACATCAGACAGAGTTGAAAAATGCTCATGGCATCATTCTTGTTAATTTAACAGGCATGACTGATAAGTTGGGACCATGTATTTTATGTTTATGTAGGCATCTTCACCACCATAGCGCTCAAAAGCTTCCAGTGTTTCTTGAATCAAGTCTCCAATATTTTCTCGCTTCTGCTGGCTGTAGTCAATGCCATCGCCAGAATTCACTGAAGAAAAAAAAGAAAGAAAATTAGTTGTGGTGGTTGAGGGTGCTCCAACACTGGGGGTTTTCAAAACAGACTAGCAGGATTCATTGTATCTAATACAACCTTTTTCTGCTACGTGTCATTGGTAGTGTAGGTTAACGGTACTTTCACAGGGTAACTTCCTCATTTTTGGTACAACTAGAAAAGCAAGGAATGTCTTAAAACAAATACAGTTCTATCTTCTTGCAAGTTATTCAGCAAAAACCTCCCAGGCAGACTGCAAAGTTTCTTCCAGCCATATTGCTGACAGGAGAGCATGTTCTGCCAACCAATAGGTTACTCTTGGTGTGTATGGCAATGTGGATGCATTGATGGAGTACAGAGACTAAAGAAAATGAGAGCCACTTCAAATGTAACTTGATGCTGTAGAGTTTGCCTGAAATCCAGGGCTCCAGGCATTCCCTCCTACATAAGTGAGGGGGCTGCCCAATATCTAAATATCTATTTGTAGGGACATTGCCATGAATCTGATACTTCATATCCATGCCAGTGTTTTGGTCCACATTTAACCTTGCTTGATAATGAGTTGATACCGAGGCAGTCAATTAGTTCTGAGTAAGCTCAAACCTAGGAACAAAAGAGAAGGAAGTACAATATCGTATTATAATGACTATATTACTATAAATTGTCAGTAGATTGAGACTATTGCCAAAAAATGGGGTGGGAAGACTTACCCAGAAAGAAGATAAAAACTGATTTGCATAATATTTGTATATGGTAATCTTAGTGCATGGATACAAATTTAGAAATAACTGCTATCTATCTATCCTTGTTGCTATGTCATGGTCTTTTAGTTTTGAAAAACAGATCTGGTTGCCATATTGCATAGTAAAATACATCTCACTGGAGTAAAGAAAACAATGACCAAATGAGCTGGGATTCTGCTTTGTTTGCTCATTTTTCAGGATAACCTTAAGACCATGGCTTCCCCTAGTTTATTAACCCTTTTATATTTAAATTGGACTTGCATAGGATAATCTGCAAATGGAGAAATGTTTCCAGGAAAAGAGAACATATGGCCATCCTGCTCTCATTAATACTCTGCTGGGCCTTTTGCTGCTGTCTTAATGAAATTGACGGTGTTAGAATACCCTCCACGATACCAGGAAGATTCTGAATCATGAATTGGTTCTAGATGACAGGCCAGGCAGATTTCAGTCTCAGGATCTGAAGCTGTCTTCTAGCTTACAGTTGATGAGTGAAGTGCAGGGAACTGGATACCTAACAAAGGCTTTTGGCCGCTGCCAAACACCAGAACTAGTTGTTCAGGGAGAATGAGTTCAAGACTGCAGAACTGGCACAGAAGATGCTGTGTTCGTTAAAAAACTCTTCTACTGAAGAAAATACAATATCATCTTAATTCACTCAATTTTCTTCTGAAAAAAATGTATTGAATGAAGTCAACGTCAAGAATAAAAGTTATTAGAAGTTCTACATCAGAGCAGTGTTTTTCATCTCTTCTGCAGTGAGGCAGCTCAAGAGCTTATTGGGAACACATATTTGCTGCAAGATGACATTCTAGATACTGGTGCAAATATGGAATACATGTAAAATGTAGACAACAACCTTTTTTCTTAGGATTTTGATGGCACACATGTATTTGAAAATAGGTCTCAAAGATATAGAAAAGTGCCATTGATCTCAATGAAACATAAACAACTTCTACTTTAATATTCTGTACAGTTTCAGTGATGGTCAATGGGACAATGCTGGAGTAATGTTAATAAATCACGGCCATATAAGGGAGCATCCTACAACTCGTGAAGCAGAAGTATATTCAGAATCATACCAAAAATAATTTGGCAATAAGCACTGGATGATTTAGACATTTGGCAGCAAGACACTGACTTTTTCAATCTCTTATATCTTTGGCTCTAACCCTGTCTGGAGAGGTGACTGCTGGAAGGTTATTTCATGGCTCATGTGACATTAAGTGAGCTCACTTTTGTTAATAGCAGACAGGTGTCTAAACCATAAAACTCAAGAGCTCTTCTAACACAATTCATCCATTCCAGTAGCAATATTAGAGAAGTCAACAAAACTATGAAAGACGCCACATAATCTTTTCTGTCTGGGAGCTGCAGCTGACGCTTTTCTGTTTCAGGTGTCTGAATTTTTAAAAAAATAAGCTCCTGGATTTTTTAAAAAAAAATGGAAAACTGTAATTAAACAATGTTTCTGTTAGGTTTTAAACAGGCAACCTTCTGTATCTAAGTGAAGATCTTAACTGCTATGCTATTTGGGAGGCAAGGGGGGAGCAGAAGGTATAGAACCTATTAGAATGCAAGGTAAGCATTGACTAGAATGCAGGGTAAGCATTGCTAATATATTGTTGAGATTAGCTTACAGAAATGCTCTGGTGCAGGGGTGGTGAACCTTGGCTCTTTTATGATTTGTGGACTTCAACTCCCAGAATTCTTGATCCAGCCATGCTGGCTCAGGAATTCTGGGAGTTGAAGTCCACAAGTCATAAAAGAGCCAAGGTTCACTACCCCTGCTCTAGCAAATGGGGTTTCCAAACTTGGCACCTTTAAGACTTGTGATATCAACTCCCAGAAGTCCCCACCTAGCATGGCTGGATGAGGAATTATGAGAGTTGAAGTCCACAAGTCTTAAGGTTGCCAAGTTTGGAGACTCTGCTCTAGCTGCAATGCAAATGGACAGAAGGATTCAAGACAACATAAAAGGGAGAATGATGTTCAAAGTAGAAAAACACACCTTCAAAGTCATTTGAAGGTGAACAGGGGAATAATGGGGAGAGGTGCCATCCTTTTCTGCCCTTCAGAAATTATTGCCTGCCATTTTAGCAATGAGAAAACTGGACAATGAGGATAGGTCCAGTCTAGGTTAGTCATTTAAGCTTCATATTGCTAAGACCATACAGAATCAGGCATTTTTATAAATATTTATTCTTCTGGAAACTCAACCTCACATTCATGAACTAATTGCAAAACCTTTGGTGATTTCATATTTCTAGATACATGTCTTCACTCTAGACTAGAAAGTAGTCACATACAGTATATGCAGAAGAACAGCTAGGGACAGAATATAGAAATCAAACCCATATCTCTGCCACCCCCAGAGATTAAATCTTACGCATTTTCATCCTCTTCTTTTGAGTTAACATACTCTTAGCCACGCCTTTCCCAGCCTTGAGATTGGCATGGACCAATTTAACGGTGCCCTTCTCTGATTTGGTTTCTGTTTCAATCTACATCCAGTAGGACAATACTACTGAAAGCTGAGCAGTGTAATGACCTTCAAGGCTGGACCTGATTTCATCAACATGCTAATACAAGTTACAAATTGGCCCTGGATCCAGTCACTTTTCTAAATACAAAAGCATTATGCAGTCTACATCTCTGTCTCTAAAGCTCAACTATATAAAGTTAGTTCATAGGTCTTTAAAAATGACATTCTCAGCAGAAAATATTTCAGAATTAGAAAAAAATGCTAACTATATTGAACAAAGAGATCCATAGGTATCATAACACAAACACTATATCACTGCGTCTCCCTCAGATCATTAGGTTTTCTAATTTGAGGTTGTTTTTTTTTAGCATGGCATGGGCATCACTGATTTGTTATGAAAAGAGCAAGGAAGAGCATTCAATTGGGGCTTGAAACTTAAACCTTTCAAAAAAGTTGAAGTTCATTGGGTTAAGCTTGCAGATTACATCCTAGCTAGATGGACGTGACTGGGAATGCTCCAAGAGCATCAAACTGGGGGAAATCTCAAGGCAATCCCCATTTTCTCTGCTTGGCAAAGTCAGGGGTTGATAGAGAAGGGCATGGCATTTTAAAAACATCAGGCTTGTTGTTTTTAACATCTCAGAATAGGTATGGTATGCCTACTTCAGTCTGAATATACCCAGTGCTATCGTTATTCTGGTGCTAAAGGAAAAGGAGAAAGAGGAGAGATCTCATTACAGAATGCACTCCTTTGGAGTTCGGAAGCAGCATGTACTGTAGGCCACAAGTTGCTCATCATTTGCCAGGGGGCTCACTTGATGCCAATGGTTGCTAAAACATACAGTGATTCAACCTTCCCCAAATATTTTGAGGATGACTTCCTTAAATCTGGGTAATGGATCATGTCCCCCCCCCCCTCAAATATTAGCTATTTTACAGAAAAGAAACACAGAATTACTTTTGCATGTGTGTATTGGAGGGAGAGGGAATTAACAATCATTGTAATCGTACTTATGTGAGATGTGGCAATAGTTTGTTCCTGTCCAGAAAATTAGGGGAAAGATGCCAGAGTAGCAAAATCACTCTACTGTAGAAGATATTGCGGCTTGGAGGATTGAGTAAAAAAAAAAAAAAAAAAGGTGAAAGAATCTGACACTAAGAGAAGCCACATAAAGAATGGCACCAAATTATGCTCAGACAATCGTTACTGACAATGTATGTTGTGTGCCAGGCTCCTCTCCTCAAGACAGCTATACTGTTTTCTCTAATTTCATGACCCAGTTTATAAACAACATTGCCAAAAGGCTATTTCAGCAAAGAAGTCACCCACTAAGCCCACAATAGCTGCTTTGCACAGCGATAGGAATTAGCAAATCTTTAAGGCAAAGTTGGGAACGATTAACCCACCAGGACAACATCCACCCCAGCATTTGCCAGCACTCGACAGATGAGTCATACTGATTTCCTCTGCACACCTAAGGCTAAGAATCTAGTCATAATAATAATTAGAATGAAAACATGAAGAGGGGAGAGCATAAAAAAAAACCTGCCACCGATGCACAACATTTTCAGTCTGCCTGTCTCTGGTGTAATGTTATTTCTGGGTTATTTATTGTATAGTGAACATGTGGGCAACTAAAAAGAAATAGCTGTCTGTATGATGCCAGAACCTGGATTGGATTCAAGCTGTTTACTGAAGTTTCCCTCAGTGGCAGAGAATTAATCAACATGAAGAAAAATTTGGAGGCCACATCTGTCTTGCCAGGCTC